CAACGAAAGATAAAAAGACTTCTTCTAAAGTGTTGACTCAAGTTAAATTGCCTAAAACTTTCTTTGCAATGCAAGAGGATTTGGAATTAAGAGATATTTGGAGAGATTGGAATTTAAGTGAAAGAGATTTTACTTTTTTTCGGACAGACACCATTCCCACTCTAGAATTGATTTTTTTTAATAACTAATGACTTACTTTCTAGGGTTAAGAAAGTGAAGATTTTCCCTAGGATCTTATCAGATCACAGTCCTGTATGGATGGAACTTTCAACTGAAGAAAATAGAAGGACTTGGAGACTAAATGAAACTTTACTTAGACATGAGAGTAATCTGCAGAAACGTAAAGATCATTTAAGAGACTTTTTTTTGCTGAACATGAATATGGGCACCTCTATGTCAATGGTATAGGATGCTAGTAAGGCTTATATGAGAGGTGCTCTAATTTCAATGAACAGTGCACATAGGCGAAAGCAAATACAAAAACGTAAAGATTTGGAGGATGAGATTAAAATAAAAGAAAAAATTCTTATTTTAAACCCAATGGATAATAACTTAAAGGTTTCTATTGCTATGTTGAAGGAACAATTTAATATGTTGATGGCAGATCAGATTGCAGTTAATTTGAAGTATATGAAACATAACACATTTTGTAACGCAAATAAACCTGGTAGATGGTTGGCTTATCAATTACGAAAGAAACAAAAATCAAGAATTATAGAGAAAATAAATTATAAAGGTAAAGAAGTTTTTCAACAAGACTTGATCAAAAAGGCTTTTTTGGAATATTTTTCAAAATTATACGCTTCTGAAAATGTACAATCTACCGAAATAGATAGATATTTACAGCAAGCAAATTTTCCTAGACTTTCAGAGGAACAACAAAGAGTTATGAATTCCCCGATTGGGGTTGAGGAGATTATAGAGGCAACTAAACAATTAAAGGTTGGAAAAGCTCCTGTACAGATGGGTTTATAGCAATATATTATAAAATGTTATCAGAAGAAATGATAGAACCTTTGAAATATCTTTTTAATAGTATCCTGTCCGGAGCAGAGGTGCCTCCATCTTGGAGATGTGTATTTATATCACTTATACCGAAGGAGGATCAGGATTTGACTTAGCCTAAAAATTATAGACCAATATCCTTGTTGAATACAGATTATAAGATTTTCACAAAAATTTTAGCTAATAGATTGATGCAAGTTTTGAAGCGGATAATTCATATTGATCAGTCTGGATTTATAAATGGTAGATATATGAAGTATAATGTCAGACAAATTGTGAATTTGCTTGAATACTTGGATAAAAATAATCAAATTCCAGCAGCTCTTATCTTTTTGGATGCGGAAAAAGCGTTTGATAAATTGGACTGGCAATTTTTATTGCGAGTTGTGGAGAGAATGAATTTTGGAGATAGTTTTTTGTTCGCCCTTAAGGCTATTTATCAATTACAATCAGCACAAATTGTAATTAATGGGGGATTGACAGATACATTTAAAATTGAGAAAGGTACAAGGCAAGGATGTCCACTATCACCTTTATTATTTGTTTTGACATTGGAGATTTTATTGATTAAAATTTGTGAATCATCGATTATAAAAGGAATAATTTTAAACAAGAATGATTATAGGCTGAGAGCCTTTGCTGATGACCTGGTTTTTACCTTATCTCAGCCGATTGAATCAGTAAGAGATTTGATACAGATCTTGACACAGTATGGGAAAGTTTCTGGATTTAAGGTAAATAACAATGACTAAAATATTATCCAAAAATATGACTAAAAAAGATAAGGAGATTTTAGTTAATCTAACTGGTTTTGAAATAGTGGAAAAGGTAAAATATTTGGGTGTTTACATTACTGCCTCTAATGTTAAATTGTATAAAAATAATTATGATAAGTTATGGATAAAAATTCAAAAGGATTTAGATGATTGGAAAAAGTTGCAGCTATCATTGTTGGGGAGAATCTCAGTGGTTAAAATGAATGTTCTTCCAAAGTTTCTTTTGTTTCAAATGATACCTATTTTAAAAAAAGATTCTAATTTGGAGGTATGGCAAAGAGATATCAACAGGTTTATTTGGCAGGGCAAAAAGCAGAGGGCTAAATTCAAAATTATGCAAGATGTACGGGAAAGAGGGGGACTTAAAGTCCCGAATTTAAAATTATATTATGATGCGGTGGTTTTAACTTGGATCAGTGATTGGATTAACTTAACTAATAGAGATATATTGAATCTGGAAGGCTGGGATTTATTTTATGGATGGCATGCTTATTTATTTTTTCATAAGAAAGTTGATCAAGTTTTCAAGACCCATATCTTAAGGACTGCACTTCTGCGTTTTTGGAAGAAGCATTATTATAAATTAAATTCTAAAATTCCAATATGGGCAATTCCAGAATATGCAATACAAGGAATCACAAGAGGAGTTAAATTGGAGGGGATTTCTTATAAGGATTTACTTATTTTGAGGGGGCAGGATTGGCAATTTAAATTATTGGATGATTTGAAACGAGATAATATTCTCCATTCCTGGTTCTCATATTGTCAATTGATAGATAGGTGGCATATAGATCAAAAGCTTGGTTTAACTTTGGAGGATGTGAATTTGATAAAGCAGACTAAAGATCAAAGTAGAGTTCATATTAGGAGAATTTATAGTGTTTTAATAGAATTGGATTCTGAAACAGAATTAGTTAAAGATTGTATGATTAAATGGGCTCAAAACATCCAAGAACCAATTTTGCTGGATACATGGGAAATAATTTGGGTAAGAAATGTGAAACTTACTCAAGCGCAGAATTTAAGGGAAAATTTTTATAAAATGTTTTATAGATGGCATTTGGACCCCCAAAAGTTGTCTTGTATGTATCCTAACCTACAGCCCAAATGTTGGAGATGTGGTAATTTAGATGCAATTTTTTGGATTAAGATTTGGTGGAATATCCAACAGATTTTTAAGAGAAAGATAAAATTTACAAGGCAATTATTTCTTTTGGGTATTATGAAGTTTAAATTCTAGAGAAATGATTTTGCTGTTGTATTGTATAACGGCAGCAAGGTTATTGGTTGCTCAAAACTGGAAGAAGAATGCATTACCTACTATGGATGATTGGAGAATGAAGGTGTCATATTTTGCAGAAATGGCTAAGATTTCCGCATACTTGAAAGATCAATCTCAAGAAAAATTTATTTTGGTTTGGAGAAGATGGATAGATTATATTCAGAGAAAGTATGAAGTGAACAAATACTATATAGCTTTTGAGTAGATTTTATATTGTTTTTATTTTATTATTATATTATATATATATTATATTTATATTTATTTCAAGTTGATATTTTTTTATTAGAGTTAAAGTATGTTAATATTTGATTGTATTATGTTTGGGTAGTTTTATTTAGATTTGGGATGACATGTGCATAACCCTGTATTCGATTCCAGGACGTCCAGGGGGAAGAGGGGGGGAGGGGATTCAAGATGTAAATGTAAATTTTGGTATATTAAAATGTTATAGTGAAATAATGTATTTGAAGAAGATGAGATGCTCGGCTGGCACCCCCAGACTGCGTCCGAAGGATGAGGAAAGGAAGGAGGTGGGATGTGTAGGGTAGTTGAGAGGAGGAAGGAGGAGAGAGGTGTAGGTAGGAGGAAGAGAGGAGGAGGGAAGTAGGTAGAAAGGGTGAAAGAGAGGGTGGATGCAGGTGGGGGGGCTGCTGAGCATCTCTGAATAGATACATAATATGGGGGGGGTTTCTTTTGTTTATTAATGTATACCATATTTGTAACTTGTTTGTTTATTTGAAAATTAATAAAAATTTGAATATAAGAAGACTTGAATTACTTAAGACAGAATCAGTGCTCCTAGGGGTGTCCGCAGTGGGAGTAAAAAAAAGTCACAACTTGTAATGGTATGTGAGAATAACCTTGGGAAGCAGGAGGAAGAGCTGGAGGCAAGGCAATGGTGTGATAAGCAGTATAAAATCTGCAGAAGGACAGGGGGTGTAGCAAGCATCTTAGAAGAGATTCTCCCTAATTTCTTGGTCTGTAAAGTGAGAGGGTAAAAGTTACAGGTAGTATTCAACTTATGACCACAATTTGGGCCGGAAGTTCCATAGCTAAGAGTTGTTCAATGAGTTACACCCAATTTTATCTATTTTGCCATAGTTTTAAACAAATCACTGTAGCTATTAAGTAATCCTACAGAATTTAAGCCAATCTGGCTTCCCTCATTGACTTTGCTTATTGGGAACTAGCTAGGAAGGTTGCAAATAGCGATCACATGACCATAGGATACTGCAACCATCATAACTGCATGCCAGTTGCCAAGTGTCTAAATTTTGATTATGCAACTGTGGGGATGTTGCTACAATCGTTAAGTGTGAGGACCCATCACTTTTGTTAGTGCCGCTGTAACTCTGAATGGTTGCTAAAAGAATGATTGTAAGTCAAAGACTACCTGTATATTTTGAGACTTGCAAGATTCATGTCAGCCTTGTGAGGTAGTCCAAACAAGAAACAGACCTAGAAGCACCACCAATAACTTTATTTTAAGGTTACATTAACTGAATTGTGCCTGAAGTAATGTTCATTGCCATCGCTAACAAACCAGCAATGAATTATATATCTTGCATGAATTATATATCTTGTGATGATGCCACAAGCCATCATCACACAAGATATTAATTCACACCATCACCTTCTTGCTGACACCAATATCAACTTGATATATATATTTTAGAAGGTAAATAAATAGGTGGGTGACATCAAAAGCACAACCTAGATCAGCTTGCTATCATGATTGCCAAAGGCAGTTGTTGATTGGGAATTTTTATTCATAAAATTTTAAAATTATTAACTTATACTCCTTAAAAATAATGTAATGGCCCAGACATTCCTGCTAGGTTTTTGCATTATGTCACAACTCATGAAGTTGCTACTCACTCAAGACAAGATTGAAATTTAAACAAACTCTTTAACACAATTTATGGAAGAACCTCTTTGAGATGGAAGGCTGTAATGCTGAAAAATATTTTCATCAGATAAAGCAGCAAAATATGCTAGAACATCACAAATCCAAGCCATTTTCAATTAAAATGCTGTTCTTACACTCATGTTTTCTTTTTCACTGTGCTCATCTCCACTCTCAGATTCCTTTAATTCCTGTTGGATACAGCCATTCAAACAATTCCGAATGGTAAACATCAGTTTAGCTAGAATAAAAGAACAATTATAAAAAATGACAAGTGTCAATGTGGACAGTAAAGCTACTGGCCCAAATATTGCTTCATTAAAAAAGTAGGAGTATAGTATATGTACACTTCAGCAAAATAAATAAAAGCAATTTAATAAAAGCATGCAGCTGTTCAGATTAATATTTCATCAACCACTTTTGTTGTTAAGGATTTCAATAGATTTGTAAATGGTTTTGAGCACGTTCACATCTATATAATTTAAAACCACATCAAAATAAATTATTTAAAATGGGATTGCAGTTAACACTCAATGACTGAGAAAATGTTGAGGCAAAAGTACTATTTTCATTTTAAAATAAGCCTTCCCAGTAATTAGCACCTTTTATGCATGCATTACAACCGAATTATTCCTCTTTAAGTTTAGCCCAGAATTCTTCAGAAACAATTACTGTCTCTGGTCATTTATAAAAAAGCAATAGAGGGCTTCTTTATGAATGCGGGGAAAATATAAATAGTCCTTGACGTACAAGCAGAGCATACCCATTACAGTCATAAATCATGATTCATAAAAGGGGTCTGTCACCTGACTAATGATTTTACAATGTTGTTAAGCAAACCTTTGTGATTGTAACTGCGAATACCATGATAATTAAATGAACACTATAGTTGTTGAGCAAGCCTATTCTCTATGGCGCAATTCTGCAGCAAAACCATCGTAAAATGTGGTTACGTGACTGACTGCAGGATGCTGTAAAAGGCCATAAATATGGACATGTTACCAATCCCCTGAAGTGTGGTCATGTGACTACAGGAGGGGTGACATTAGGTCATAATTAATCCTTAGGTCACTAAGTGATCAGCTGCCAAGTCAAGAACTACCTGTAACACATCAATTGTTCCATATTGGTCAACATCTTAAAGGTTGCTTTCTACAGAATTACCTATATTGGTGGGACTAATATACTCGTGAACGTATTGATAGAATGTTCTAGCTGCAGATGCATTCATTTGGATGAGTGTCACACAGCGTTCACACCACACTTCTGGTTGATTGATGGGCAAGAAAGAGCTGATCAGAAGGTTTACTAGCCGCCGGGACACAGGCCGTGAATCAACCTCAAGACGAGCTAAGAGGTGCTCTACAGGACAAATGTTCCAAAACTGATTGGACAGGATGGGAATGGGGGAGAAACAAAGTTATTGTGATTAGATTTGATAGTGGATTTACCTTCAGATAAACTTCTTCCTGAATAATTATATGAAATCCTACATTCTTACACAAGTTCATAAGTTGTTTCTTCAGTTTACAATTTTTTACGAATCTCTCCCTTGAAAAGCAGTCTACAATTTGCAACATCAATTTGTCTTTTGCTACTCAGGAATCAAGACAGTGTATCTGCCTTTATCTGCATTGTACTCATTGATTTTAGATTAACCACTTGCAGACAGAACATTATAGCGGTGTATCAATGTCCAACATAGGGCTGATACTATATGCAGATAGTTCTCGACTTACGATTACAATTGGAACCAGAACTTCGATTGCTATGAGATGATTTTTAAGTGAGTTGCGTTTGATTTTACCATCTTTTTGGCCACAGTTAAGCAAATTACTGCAGCTGTTAAGTAAATCATGTGGCTGTTGCACAAATCCAGCTTCTTCCATTAACATTGCTTATTAGACTGTCTACAAAAGTCACAAATGGCAATCACATGACCCCAGAACACTGCAATTGTTGTAAATGCATGCCAAGCATCCAAATTTTGACCATTTGACCACGGACATACTGTGATGGTCATGTGAGGACCAGCTGTAAGACACTTTTCTCACTGCCATTTTAACTAAATGAATGGTTGTAAGTGAAATACTACCTGTAATTGGGTCTACCTTTATTAAATATGAAAATGCTTTGTTTTCCAACATGGATTAAAATAATAACTAATAATTTGTTCCTTCACAGCCAGAGTTCTTTTGATATCACCTCCACCAAGGGAGCCTATATTTAAGTAAGGAATACTTCAGATTTTGCCTTCTGATTCCAAAACTGATCCATTGTTCAGAATTAAGCACTGTATAGCTGTATTAGAATTGCACACCTCCAGGAATGAGGACTGGACCATAGGGAGTTCTATTAAACAGGATATTTTACAGATCTGATCTTCACTGATCTGGTTTGTTGATGCAGAGAATAAATCGACAATACAACCCTCACTTATTTTCTACCCCCTTAGGTTATTCAATGACATCTGAAACTAATGCGATCCCTTCAGCGGGATGCTACTTTGCAGCTGAAAAAAAAATTAATTGAATCCCTTGCACAGAAAGACCGCATGATTTCAAAAAATAAATCATAAGAATATAATCAAATGCTTCCTTTTAGCTGTTAGTTTACTACTGGACCTGTCATAAAGATAACTGCTAGCGAAACTGCAGGAAAGAAAGAATATTATAAGTTCTTTCTTATTGATTAATTTAAAACATAACAATGGCAAATTGTTTGGGGTGAAATGTTAATGAATTCTTTGGACTCTTTTCCTTTTAAAATATTGATGAATGCACACACTTCAGAATAAATTGCCTAGTTTTATGCCTCCTGCCTGCTTCCTGGCAAACTAATTTATCCTACCTTTGCAGCCTTCATAGCCTTAATTTTCAGCAACATATCAACGAAAGCCACCCTAACTTTCTCTGAACTGTCATGGATATTGTATTTCAGGGTTGGCAGAAACTGTTCCAGTAATAAGTGGCTTAGTGTATTGTCCAGAATTATAGGCAAGCACTGGAAGAGAAACAGAAAAATATCAATAAAAGGTTATCACAAGAAAAGAAGGGCTACTTGCATTGAATCTATTCTACCTGCAAAATACCTGAAGCTAAGGGGATAGAGGCTAGAGAATGAAAAAGAGCAAGACAATCCATTTTTATTAAACATGTCATTTAAATTCAAAGTAGCATGTAGGCTGATGATGCAAATTCTCTATTCATATTCCTTCAGAGAATGGGCTGCTAAAGCAGAACAAAAAGATCAGATATATGGTTGAGGGAACCTAGAACTAATAATTTTAGAAGGTTCTCCGCCCAGCTGATGTTTTGTTTCAGGTTAAGGTGCCCATTGATCCAGAGTTCTTGAAACAATATTGCTGAGATAGTAAAATTCTAATGAAATATAGCACCTTTTAAACGGATCACCAACACTTTGCAGCATGCTCATGACTTACGATGTGTGCTTCCCTTGGCCCTACTTTGAAGATTTTTCTTTTTCCTAAAAGGGAAACAATGCTACAATACTCAACATAGGAAGATGAGTATTATAGATTCATCTTAGCCAGTGGAAGCTTAAATATACTCATCATTCAAGAGCATCAGCTTTGACGATAACTTTCCTAAACAAAGATCAGTTAAGTAATGAAATGTATGAAAAAAACAAGCAAGCTCAGAGAGCAACAAGGACCCCAAAGATCAGCTTGCTGTGATAGTCTCACTTAGATAATATAGCATTTTGCATCTTTTACAGCAAACCAACGTCCATAACCAGAATTTGGGGTTGTGCAAGACACAGCCCACAATGTTTGGAACAACCTTATTTGATGCTAACCAGAAGCTACTACAGTCCTCATCTTACAATCATTCATCTAATGACTGTTCAAAATTGCAATGGTACTAGAAAAAGTGACTTACAACTGGTCCTCACCCTTATGACCATTGCAGGATCCCCAAGGGCATGTGATCATAATTGAGGCACTTGGCAACTAGCATGTATTTGTGGCCTTTCCAGCCGGCTTCCAACAACCAAAGTCAATGGGGGAAGCTCAAATCGCTTAATGACTGCATGAATTACTTAACTGCAGTGAATCGCTTAATAATCATGGCAAAAAGATCATAAAATTGAATGCAACTTACTTAACAACTGCCTTCCTTAGCAATGGAAATGATGGTCCCAACTGTGGTCATAGATTGAGGACTAGCTGTGCATGCAATTAAAAGCCTAAGTTTGTAATAGTGGCGAATATCTGTAGGTGTAGGATGAGGGTGAAGGTTGGTTTCTGAATGTTTCATTACCAAGCTAGGCTGAACAAGGGCTGAAGATGTTACCTGGCCTGGTAACGAAACGTTCGGAAACCAACCCTCAAACTCAAAAAAGAACCTTCATCCTCAAAAGCCTAAGTGCATTAAGCAAGTGAAAATTTGCAACTATCTCGCATAAAGTAATTTTCTTCAAGGAGAGATGATAATAGCTAAACAAAAGATACCTTATTTACTCACTTACTTTAAAAACAGCACATCGGACATCAGCTGAACTTGCATCAAAAGCAAGTTCTTCAGTCAAAATTTTCAGAAGTCCAATAATCACTTTTGCCGGAATCATCTCCCAATATTTATATGTAATTTTACTAACTGCAAGTACTCCTGTTGAGCGGACTAAGGGTTCAGGATCTTGTAAGAGAGCCTGTGAATACAATTTAAGTAAACAGCAACTATACTATGATATTCACTCTATTTTGCATTTAAGGTATTTGGCTCCATGTCAACAAAATGCTGGAAACAATCTCAAGATTAACTTGAATTGGTTTCATCTTCTGGTATCTTTCCATTAGAAGAAGAAACAATAAGCAGATGGGGAAAAATTAACCTTCCCTTTCTGCAGCTCTACAAATCTGATCCAGAGAATTCTGGGATACCCCCTGAAACAGATCTAAGAATTTGCTGGAGGCTACATGGAAAAGAGAAGAAGGAAATCGCTTATCATTCTGGATGTTGTACAGCATTTTTAGACATACTGTACTAAACTTTTGTAAGCCTACTATATCTATAGAATATATGAGCTTCCATAATATTAAATATGTTTTCTGCCTAAGCAGGGTGTTGGACTAGAAAACCTCCAAGATCCCTTCCAATTTTGTTATTCTGTTATATTGTAACTTACTGTGTTTTCAAAATATCTCATAATCTGTAATTTATTTGTTACTAAGATGCTTATTGGAAATTTAAATTTGGAATCAAGAAGTTATAACTACATAGTGAAGAAAAATGAAATAGTATTCAATATTCGGCTGTTAAGTTTGGGGTGTAGTCTCCATGCCAAAATATAGCATTATTCATTTATGACACCCTACTTTTTCTTTGAAGCATAGAATAAGAAAATATAATTGACAATGGGGAAGGGAGAGGGGAGGGGAGGACTATCCAGACTTTAGATGCACAAAAATTAAATAAAACTGATCCAATAAAAAGTTCATAGGAAGAATTTAAAAGGTACTTACAAAAAGTTCATCAAACTGCCTCTGGACTCCTTTTTCCCTATCTTCATTACAATTAGGATCCAGAATAGGGAACACATCACCAAAAAGTAATGCTGCATTTGAACGAATTTCAGAATTCCTGACCTGATAGAATACAAGTACAATAGCAGAATTTTGAATTAAATTTAGTCTAGCTTTTGAAAATTATCTGGAGGAAAGTAGGACAATTTGATAGAAATAAATTACCTTCAAAGCTCTCCAAAGAATAGGTTCATAAAGTCTATAAAGAACTTCTTCGACTCCTTCGCGACATTTATTTTGTTTGTGGAAATAGCTCAGCAGCTAATAAACAAAAGTAAATTAAAATGATTTAAGAGATTAGCTCCAGCCGATTTTATTCAGCTCTTTGCAAAATATGAGCCACTTGATACCTATATATGAAATTGGCAATGTTCTGCAGCAGAATAGATTTCTAACTTGTACATGGTATATATATTTGCTTTCTCTCTCAGTAATACACATAAATGAAATACAGCTGTGTCAATCATAAGAAAATCTCACACAGCTAAGTCCTGGTAGCCAAGCAGCCTTTCAACATTCTACATCAGACATATCAAACACTAGGCCCGGGGGCCATATGCGGCCCGCGAAGTGGTTTCATGTGGCCCACGAAGCCATCCTGGAAACAGTGAGGAACGGCCCCCTCTGCCTTGGCCCTGGCCGGCCGGGAGCTAATGTACAATTTTGTGGTGGCCATCTATGCTGAAACGCATTCAGTCTTAGCTCCACAAGGCTGTCTGGAAACAGCGAGGAACCAGCCCCTGCCATGTTGGCCCCGCCCCCTAGGTGCATGCTGGGGAGGTGTCACCCTTTGTGAGGAATGAAGAAATGGACCATGCCTTGGCGCTTGCCCCGGTCCCACCCCCTTCTGTCAGAGACCCTCAGATCTGTCCCACTCCTGCCCCGGCCCCCACAGGCACCCTTGCCACGAATGATGTAGAGTTGGCCACACCCACCCAGTAGGCCACACCCACTCCATCCATGTCCACCCAGTAGGCCGCACCCACCCTGGCCACACACACCCGCCCCCCCCAGGGCAATTGCAATGCTGATGCAGCCCTCAATGAAATTGAGTTTGACACCCCTGTGCTACATGACAGACTGTTCTAAATTAAAGATCCTTTCAAAACTGGTGTTGGGAAGGAATCCCAAAAGGTAGTCTGAAAGAATGGCTTGAAATAACGAACACCTCACCTCTCGCACTTTAGCATTTATTTGGGACTTCCGGGGAAGATGAACTGCGTGATGTATGAAATCCTGAATGCAGCTATATTCAATTACCTGAAATAAGAATATACATCCTGCTTAATATTCAAAAGTTGAAAAAGCATCTTAAAGAAACAATCATACTGACTTCTAATTTGCATCCACAATGCCACTTACAAAACTCATTAAGACTGGGTCAAGAGGTCTGCGGGATGCCCCTTTTTTCGATCAATTTAACTACAGGTAATCCTTGAGTTACAACCATAATGGAGCCTCCCCATTACGGTCCTAAGTCATAATAGTCATAAAACAGTTCAAGTCAACAGATCAGTTTCACTTCATGTATTGCTAAGCCAAGTTTGTTTTAACCATGATTTACTGAGCCATAATTGGCTGGGTTCACATATCAAACTAAAACAGAAATCAGTGTTCTAAATAGATTGCATTCATGCCAACATCCACTCAAATTCAAGCTTAATATATCAGATGAATCCAGCTGTTTGCCACTGTGATGTATAGGTAATCCTCAACCACAAACCACAACTGGGAAAAGTTCTGTTGCTAGGTAAGGTGGTTTTTAAGTGATTCATGCTCATTTTTACAACCTTTTTAGCCATGGTTGTTAAGTGAATCACTGCAGTTGTTAGGTGAATCACATGGCCGTTAAGCGAATCCATGTACTGACACTGCTTGTCAGAAACCCCTGAGAAGATTGCAAATGGTGATCACATACCCTGGGCACTGCAACTATCACAAACACTTGCTGAATTTTGATCACATGTCCATAAGGATACTGCAAGGGTGATAAAGGACTGGTCCTAAACCACTTTTTTCAGTGCTGTTATAACTTCAAATGGTTGCTAAATGAATGGTTGTAAATCAAGGAATTCCTGTACTAATATGAACACTGAAAATGCCCACTCATCTGAAAAACATGTTAATCTTTTCTTTAAATCCAATTTGTAACGATTATAATTATTCTGGAACATTATACCTCTAGTATTTCCCCTGAACTCTTATTCCAGGCTCTGAAGTAAATCTCAGCAATATGTTTCATCAGGGACCTGGGTCAGTAAAATAAAAGACACAGTACAGTGAATTTAAAGACATTTATTTACATTCAGAAGGCATCCCGGCCTTTTGCAATTTTGCTTCTTAACTTAAATTTTTAGTTCAGTGCTTTTCAGATCTGGTAGAATATAAAACAGTTTGGCTTAAGTCTCAGTTTTTTTGTTACATTCCCTATGGCCTCTAAACCTAAAATTGCTATCTATAATAAGTACTCTATTAAAGTCTGTTCAACGTCTCCCTCTGTATCTTTCAATAATATATTTATTTTCTAGTGTTTGTGAACACATGCTTCTAAAGTTTTAGCTCTTCTTCCTACTAGTCACAGTTGAGATAAACTGTAAAAATATTTTGCAAGGCTCCTAAAAAAATAGCTACCTGTAAAAAAGTATTTGTCATCTTCATACATTCGCCATTTTAAGTACCCAAATAGGTAAGGTGAATCTCTAAGCAAATGGAACACTAAGCATTTCTCTATGAGTTATTAGTGTTTCAAATTGGTAAGCAAAGGCAGGCAACATGGCAATTATACAAATTGCAGGACTTGCCCATGGCTGACAAACCAGAATGCAGGAAACCCCCAACTCACCTTCTTGTGGAAGAGAAACTTACCTAGGATAACACAGGAATTGATTTTTAATAGTCTCGTGTATCAACTTAATGAAATTTACATTCCATGTAAAAACAAAGCTCAAGAATCTTTTCCCCTGGAAAAATAGCCAGACAATATCACTTAAGTAGATACAAACTCTTTTAAACTTAGTATAGGTAGTCCTTGACTTACATTTGCTTAAGTGACCAAAGTTACAACCAGACCGCAATTATGGACGTTTACAGTATCACATGACTATGATTTTATAATGTTTAGTGTTCACTTAAAAACTGCCGCATTTGCTTAATAGCTGCCAAAAAAAGGTTGCGAAATAGGGCATAGTCATATGATGACCAGTTTAACAATCAGCACAACTTACACCATAATTCTGGGCCCAGTTATGGTTATAAGTCAAGGAGTATCTGTAGGATTAGATTGTACAACTATGCTCTAGAAAGCTTTTAAATATGCTCACATCAAAGTACATAATTAAAGAAATTTCTAAAGAACATTAAGCAAACAAAATTTAATACATTTATAAGGCCATCCATTTCAATTGCATGACTCTTGGCAGCCAACAATTATAGCAAAAAAAATCAATAAAAATGCAACCAATAATTTAAAAAATAAATAACACTACACAGCATAAAATATCAGCCAATTTTAGCCAATGAGTTCACGATTATGGTGTACATATTATAAGAAATCCACGTGCATTTAAAAAATATAGAGATTCATACCTCTTCTTTTTTAATATAACCTGGGTTCATAAAGCACTGAAGTAACAAATCTTCAATTTCATTACTCTCTTCTGAGTCATAATCAAAACACAGCAGAGCAGATTGAAGGTCATATAGGTCAGTTATATCTGCATCCTAAAGGAGATGAGTTAAGATTATTTTATGACACTGATGAGGCAAGAGACATAAATCTGCAGAAAGTACAAGGAGGAAAAATGCCAAGTGTTGTGATCACCAGCAATACGCTCGATATACATGCATAAGCTTGGAGCATCATCTGTTTGGGGCTTGACCCCCTGGATGGTTCCCATGAGTTGACACTGAGCAGCTATTTGCTGGGATCGTAAATGTTGGAGCCTGGATGCTTTGCTACATTACCCTGGCATATAATTCAACCTACTCAGAGAGTTTACCTGCTCATCCATTCCTGCCAATGTCTCTAAAAGCATCTGACTTCTCTCAGGTTTATCCAGAGGAAAGAAAATTAAATGATTTGTGGTGTACCTCAAAATACAAAAGTGGCACTTAGAGGTCTATCTCAAACATATACATATAATTCTAGACATTGAACACATATTGCTTACCATAAAAGTTTTATTCCCCAGACAATTCTTCAGAAGCATCAAGAAAGCAGCTTTCCCAAATTGTTCTTTTCCTTCTAATCCCGTCTTCCACCAGCGTTCATTAAGGCATTGAATGGCTTCCAACAGAGATTTTTCAGAATCAGGTAATGCAAAAAGAATGCCTGTAACATAGTTATTTAATGAAAATGCAATGGGTTTGGGAGTAACGAAAAGAATGTAATCGTCATATGCCTCTAAAATTTTCATGTGGCTCTTAGATGTTACAGTAAGTATCTTTATGAAAGTCAAAGATCAGTTCATGATAAATCTCAATACAGGTAGTCCTTGTTTTACAACTATTTGAAGTTATGACAGCAATGGAACGGGTGTTTTACAGCTTAGTAAAGCAGCCCCGGCCGCTGTAAATGATCATGCTACCCCTCCCCCACCCACCTGCAGACACACGACTACACGTCAGGTGGGTCAGCTTTAGAATCAATCATTACTTTTCACCATCACATGACTGCAATTTACAATGATTTTTGCCAGTTTACAGCATGTTTTACAAAAAAAATAATCCATCAATTCAAATGAATGGGTTTACTTAACAACCAATGTTTGTTTAACAAGTGCCACAAAAAAGACCGGAAAATTACTTCCAGTCACGTGGATGTCATGACTTATCAAGCTAACAATTAATGGTCATAATTCCAGGTTCAACTGTGGCCGTATGTCAGTAAAAGAAACAGAATGTGTGTGTGTGGAGTGGGTGGGTGTAAAAACAAATTGTAGAATTAATTTAGTTTTTTGATCAATCAGGACTGCATTTAGCATGATAAAGCAGAATTGGGGTATATTTAGATAGTCATTAATATCTGTGACATCACTATGCCAGTTGTAAAAAAAACCTCTTTTAGAAAGTTCTTTTAGTGTTAGAATTAATATACCTATATTTACATGCTCCTCAAGAAATAGCATGGTACATCATGCAAGATTAATGCAGTTCTGGATAGATTGGTGTCCAATCAAATCTCCTTGATTCTGAAAAATTAACCATAAGGTTTTCCAATCTGAAACTCATTCAATCAAAGGAACATTAAGCTTGGAAATCGGATCCCTACTCAAAGATTCAAATGATAAACACACCAGCAGAGTCAGTATTTACATCAACATTTTAGATTACTACTTGTTATTATGAGAAGCTTCAAAACAACAAGAGCTAAGCATTTATGAAGAATATACAATCATTCTAAATTGCACCACTGAAGCACAACCTCAATAAATTAAAAGTAGTTTAAGAAAATATGCGATTCCATGGGAAAAAACCGCAAGCATCAGTCTAGGATAGGCATATCAAACTTGTGATGTCACATGACATCACATGAAGTATCGGGACTTTTTCCCCATTGCCAGCAATGGGGGGGGGGGGCGGTTTCGGCATGATGCATCCGGCCGGTGGACCAGCAGTTTGATATGCCTGGTCTAGGACTACTGTCTGAGGCATATAGTTATATTAAACAAAATACATACCATTTAATATCACCACACATTCCAAAAGAGCTTCCATGACAATATTTTCATCTAATGTAGCAATGGATGCAATAACTATAGTTGCTACACCTTCAATAACAGCTGCAGTTTGCATCTGAAAATTCAGAGATAACAATTAAAAAGAGAGCTATAGACTTCAAAAATATATATACAAAAGTATATTTTTTTAAAAAAGGAAGCAATTCAATTTTGTTTCTTTTGCAAAATATCTAGCAAATAAAATTCTTGGCTTGGTGTTATTTGGATATAAATTCATTTGTGTTAAAAATACCCAAGTGTATCCTCTATAGTCAATAAATATTCAATAAAATATACTCAATAAAAATCCGGATTATATTTGTGGTTTTGTTTCCTGTTTTTATGGATGAGGGTATGAGGTTGTATACTGCTTCAAAGCCCATTGGACTTGGGTAGCTGTAATAAATTTAAATAAATGAATATAAATATAAATTAAATCCCTGTGGGAAGAAAATCAAGGAAATGCCTAATTTAAATGAGCAATAATCAACTAGAATCACTATTCCAATCTGACATATGTCAGTACAATTTTATTATAAAAAAATAGCTTGGATAATATCTACAACCCAGAGCACAGTCCAGTATTTATTTATTTATTTAAATTGTTTTTAATCCCACCTTAACTGCTTTTAATGTGAAAACACATAAGCCTCCTATTTTCCCAACAACAATAACCCTATGAGGAGGGTTGGACTAAGAGACACTGGTCTAAAGTCACCCAATCAGGTTTCACGCCTAAGGTAGGACTAGAACTCACAGTCTGCTAGCTTCTAGGCTAGCACCTTTACCACTACACCAGAGGTCCCCAACCTTGGCAACTTTAAGACTTAAAGTTGCTACGGTTGGGGATCCCTGCACTACACCAAGGTGGGCCTCTCTTAAGTATGCTGCTTTTAAAAGGACATGTGCACCCAAATGTATAGTAACTAGTATATTCAGTGCAAATTACCTGTGCTGCATTTGTTTCCATTTCCAAATAGTCACCCTTCACTCTATGCCATTCTTCTATGGGGTTATCTAGCAAAACCGTTGCTAACAAGTCCTTTAATCTATTCCACAATGTTTCCTTTTGCTTCCTTGATAGCTCTTGAACCAGTTCATGTAGATCAAAGGAATCTGACACATCCATCTAAAAGTATAGGTCAAGAATAGCTCATCACTTAATAGATTATTTCACAGTACACCTCATTATATTGTAAAATCAAGTTTGGATTTGCCACCAAATACCCATTAAAAAAAGAAATTCAATTCTTTTTTAAAAAAATATCCTAATTTGGAAGATTTAAAATTATATGCCCACAATTACACATGTCCACTAGGATGATCTCTCTTACTGACAGACCTTGACTTACAACCATAATTGGAAACAGAATTTCCATTGTTAGGCAAGGTGGTTGTTAAGTGAATTGTACCTAATTTTATAACCTTGGCATGGTTGTTAAGCGAATCACTGCAGTTGTTAAGTGAATCCAGCTTCCCCTAATTTGCTTGTTGGAAGCTGGCTGGGAAGATTGCAAATGCTGATCAGATGATCCAAAGGATACTGCAACGGTAATAAATACCTCTCAGTTCCCAACCATCCAAATTTTGATCAGAAAACAAAGGGGATGCTGCAGTGGTTATAAATGCAGGGACCACTTATAAGATTTTTTTTTCACTGCTGTTGTAAGTTTGAGGGATTGTTAGACAGCATTGCCACCAGATGGATTTGTAACTGGCTGACGAACCACACTTAACATATATTCCTTAACAGAGCTTCTCTCCTTAACATGGAGAGAAGTATGCAGTGGAGTATCCCAAGCCTCTGTCTTAGACCTAGTACTCTTCAATATTTTCATCAATGTTTTAGATCAGAGGATAGATGGGGAATTCACCAGATTTGCAGACAATACCAAGCTGGCAGAAATAGCCAACACTCCAGAAGACAGGCTCAAAATACAGAAGGATCTTGACAGACTTGAACACTGAGCCTATGTAACAAAATGAAATTCAATGGTGACAAAAGTAAGATCCTACATTTAGGCAAGAAAAACCAAACGCAAAGGTATGGAGTAGGTGATACCTGGCTCAATAGTAGTAACTGCGAGAGAGACAATCACTTAAATATGAGCCAGCACTGTACTGCAGCTGCCAAAAAAGTCAACAAAGTCCTAGGCTGAATTAACAGAGAGATAGAATCAAGATCATGTGAAGTATAATGTTTTGGTAAGACCACACTTGGAATACAGCATCGAGTTTTGGTCGCCACAATATAAAAAGATGTTGGGATTCTAGAAAGAGTGCAGAGAAGAGCAACAAAGATGATTAAGGACTGGAGGCTAAAACATCCAAGGAGTGGTTGCAGGAATTGGGTGTGTCTAATTTAATGAAGAGAAGGACGAGGGGTAATATGATAGCAGTGTTCCAATATCTCAGGGGTTGCCACAAAGAAGAGGGAGTCAAGCTATTCTCCAAAGCACCTGAAGGCAGGAAAAGAAGCAATGGATGGAAATTAACCAAAGAGAGAAGCAACCTAGAACTAAGGAGAAATTTCCTGATAGTTGGAACAATTAACCAGTGGAACAACCTGCCTCCAGAAGCGGTGAATGCTCCAACACTGGATGTTTTTAAGAAGAGATTGGACACCCATTTGTCTGAAATGGTATAGGGCTTCCTGCCTGAGTAGGGGGTTGGACTACAAGACTTCCAAGGTCTCTTCCAACTCTGTTATTCTGAGGACCACCTGTATAAGATGGAAAGTTGGACAATGAAAAATCTGGGTCTTAAGCAAAGCAATACTACAAAACACCAAAAGAAATATAACTATCTGCTGAAGTTGTTACTTTGTACAGAAATACTATCACAATGAATATGATCAATGATCAAATAAAATGCTAATAAAAAGAAGACTGAATGGAAATGTTCCTTTTTGGATAACAAAAGTACAATACCTAAAAGAATCTCATTTCAGGAAATCATCACTTATGTCAAAAAGCATTCCAGCTTTCTTTTCCAAAATTCTAATATTATTTTGGCCAATTTATTTGGTTATTTTTTTCTATTGAACATAAGCCCACCAGCATCTTAAATCTAAATGTACATTTACATCAAGAAATGATCCCTTTTTTTCTTAATATTTTCATTTTATTTTGTTATAATGAACATCAATAAAACGCACAGGAAAAAAAGAAATGATTCCCCCAAATTTCTGCTACTTTATTACCAATAAATTATCTATTTGCCAAATCATTTATTTTTCAAGTATATTTTTATAGGATAGTTTCTTTGGTCATCAGATTTAAGCGTAAGCTGAAAAAAAGCCTAAATTAAATAGAAATAAGATTCAAGAACAATGAATTACAAATCCACACAAAAGAAGAGGGGTTGTTCTGATCTTAATACTGATTAAGACTGAAAAAAACTCCAAAGAAGTTCAGCAAAACAGAGCATTGGGAAAGACTTTTCAGTTCTTACTCTAGTCCAGGGGTAGGTTGGCTTTTTTATGACTCGTAGACTTCAACTCCCAGAATTCCTGAGGCACCATGGCTGGCTCAGGAATTCTGGGAGTTGAAGTCCACGAGTCATAAAAGAGTCGAGGTTGCCTACCTCTGCTCTAGTCTAACATGTAGTTTTGAAGGGAGAAGGAAAAATGATAAAAGATATGGACAGAAAAGGCTAAAGGAATGCCACCTGAGGTGCCAGTTGGATATAGTCAAAAAAGTCAAGATGTTGTACAATGGTGTCATCAAATCTCCACCTGTTCTTTATGTAGGTATGTCTAGTTTAATGAAGAGAAGGACGAGGGGGGACATGATAGCAGTGTTCCAATATCTCAGGGGCTGCCACAAAGAAGAGGGAGTCAAGCTATTTTCCAAAGCGCCCGAAGGCAGGACAAGAAGCAACGGATAGAAACTGATCAAGGAGAGAAGCAACCTAGAACTAAGGAGAAACTTCCTGACAGTGAGAACAATTAACCAATGGAACAACCTGCCTCCAGAAGCTGTGAATGCTCCAACACTGGAAGTTTTTAAGAAGAGACTGGACAACCATTTGTCTGAAATGGTATAGGGTTTCCTGCCTGAGCAGGGGGTTGGACTAGATGACCTCCAAGGTCCCTTCCAACTTTATTATTATTATTATTATTATTATTATTATTATTATTATTATTATTATTATGTAAAGAAGGTTGACCTTTTCCTCTCCTCTAATTCTCAACATAAAAAGTTTGGCCATATTTACTTACGTGACGCTGGATGAAATGCAAAAATTCTTCAATGGAATCCTTACATATAACGTTTAGGAAAGTCTCACGTCTCGTCATGGTATACTACTTGAAGTTCATAGACGTCTAGGGGGGGAAATATTGTAACAAACAATAACACAATTAAATGAATTGCAATTCAGCCAGATTTCTAATTTCATAGGACACTATATTTATTACCAGATCAAGATTTCAGTTCTTGAATTGTGAAAATACACCTCAAAATGAATTAACTTGCAGTATTAAATTCAGTAAATCACCAGCTGGTCAGCCTTCAGACAAATGGATTTTAATTTCCAAAATTCCTAAAAATTCCTGGGAATGTTCCATAAGTTTCCCAAAATCTGATTATATCATTAGTCCTGGGCATCCCCAGGAATTGTTGAGTTGCCAAACAATCTGTTACTCTTGCCCTCTCCTTCCTTTTTAATCGTAATACTGATTTTTTTAATTTAACTTTTTATATTTCTTTGTATAGTTTTTATTGTATGCATTCCAGAGTTGCATTTTGAAATGGGCGGCCATATAAATGTGATGAATGGAGTCCTTGGTTGTCTCTGAACTTGGTTGTTTTCTTGAAGATCTTTCATTAGCCAACCAGATATCATTGTCATCACTATCACCATCAATGTTGGAAGTTAAGATTCACATATCAGGAAGAAGTCAAGGTTAAGAACAGCTGTACCAAAAGTTTAAGATAAAAATAAACTCATAGTATTGGCTCCATATATTGGCTTCATATGATGTACATAGTATACATATGTTGTATATAGTATGTTTTAAATGTGTTATGTATGTGTAAACTTTGAGAGGAAGCAACTAAATTTCATTTTTAATGTGTGCCATTATGCCCACAGGAAAAAAAAATGACAATAAAGGTTATCTATCTATCCACCCAAAACAGCCACTGGTTTTCAAAACAACAACAGTGTGTCTAGCAATTACCATATGCTGAGCAAAGAATGAAGCAGCTTCTTGGAACTGCACTTCAAAGTTTTGCAAGTTTTGAGGATAGTGAAATCTGGGGTTCTATATAGACATAATCATCTGCCATGGAGAGGTATAGCTGGTACAGTTGGTCACTATCTGACAGAAAGCTCTTCCTGACGAGATTTGAGACAGTGTTACCAGTCATCCCATAGACAAACTCTTTGGAGAAAAAATAACAAAAGTTGAGATTCATAGTTCAGGGAACTGCTATCATTATACAAATGTTTAAAGACATAAATGAGAAATCATAGGTAGACTGAAAGATTTGTTTAGGAAAGAGGCAAGAAGCTTTCAGTTTGCTCAGTACTACACCCAAGGATTACTGTATTGTGTTTCCAAAAATATGTGTATGTTTTTAATCATGGTAGATTAAAAATGAGCTCAGAACCAGTTCATTTCAGAAAGTGGCTCTAATTATGGCTTGCAATCTTCCTAACCAATTTTCCCTGCTGACTTTGCGGGTAGCTGGTAGGTCAAACTATATTTTGATAAAGAGCAGTCTAGAACAAAATAATTAACAAATTGTTTAAAAGTAAAAGTTAAAGATCAAATAATAATAATAATAATAATAATAATAATAATAGTAATAGTAGTAGTAGTAGTAGTAGTAAAATTGGAAGGGACCTTGAAGGTCATCTAGTCCAACCCCCTGCTCAGGCAGGAAACCCTATACCATTTCGGACAAATGTCTGTCCAGTCTCTTCTTAAAAACTTCCAGTGTTGGAGCATTCACCACTTCTGGAGGCAGGTTGTTCCACTGGTTAATTGTTCTAGCTGTCAGGAAGTTTCTCCTTAGTTCTAGGTTGCTTCTCTCCTTGATTAGTTTCCACCCGTTGCTTCTTGTCTTGCCTTCAGGCGCCTTGGAAAATAGCTTGACTCCCTCTTCTTTATGGCAGCCCCTGAGATATTGGAACACTGGTATCATGTCCCCCCTCGTCCTTCTCTTCATTAAACTAGACATACCCAATTCCAGCAGCCGTTCCTTATATGCTTTAGCCTCCAGTCCCCTAATCATCTTTGTTGCTCTTCTCTGTACTCTTTCTAGAGTCTCAACATCTTTTTTACATCGCGGTGACCAAAACTGGATGCAGTATTCCAAGTGTGGCCTTACCAAGGCA